GCCGGCCGCGGCTCGCCTCCGCGGGCGCGGAAATTTGTTGCACTTCTTGGGGCTTTGTTTGTTTGTTTGTTTTTCCTCTGATTTTTTTTTTTCGTTATTTCGTACAAAATGTCGGTCCGTGATGTAAAAATTGAGCGAGGAACCTGGATGGCACTGGGAGCTTTGCAGAAGGTGCAGTTTGGATTCTGCTTTTCCCAGGGTGGCAGCTCGGCTCGGTCTTGGCCGGATGAATCTTCGCTGCTGGCCGTGGAAACGGCTGGAGCAGCTTGTTAGTTGATTTTTAAATTCCTAAGTGTTGTATTTAAAGGCTTACATGCACAGGGGAGGAATCGCCACCTTAAATAAGCATATGGGCGATTAGCAGGGTATGTTTTCCTCTCGGAAAGGGAATTTGGTAGCTTTGACCAGTGTCAGTGTGTAAATATTTAGACGTTATTAGTGACTTTTTAACATTTTTCAGCGAGATCTGTTATTTACAGTGTGTCATATGTTATTAATGCTCGTTGCCTAAGTTCCCTGGCAAATCTGTTTCATGCCTTCTGAGAAAGTAGACAATTGATAGATTGTCCAAGGGATGGAAAAAAATGTGAGTGGGTTTTCTAACTTGAGTCGGGTAAATCCCTGAACGCTGGCGTTGTGAGAGACACTTCACCTCCCCTGGAACCCTGCTGGACGTGTGATAAGTGGGAACACTTTTAAAGCGTTCTCATTACAATACGATTTGAGGTGACTATTAAGAGAAGAAAATGCTCTTGGCTTATTTCTTAAGACTTAACATTTCCTTTCTTTCCCCCCTTTCTTTTTAAAAGTTTTCCAAGTCCTAACTTCATCAAGATGTCCAGTGATAGGCAAAGGTCCGATGATGAGAGCCCCAGCACCAGCAGTGGTAGTTCAGATGCAGACCAGCGAGACCCAGCCGCTCCAGAGCCTGAAGAACAAGAAGAAAGAAAACCTTCTGCCACCCAGCAGAAGAAAAACACCAAACTCTCTAGCAAAACCACTGCTAAGTTATCCACTAGTGCTAAAAGGTAATGTGTAAGAGGAAGATGAAGCGCCTTGTCAGATTGTCTTCCACATGGTTGGACACTTTTGTTGGTTTTCCATCAGTTGCAGTAGTTCAAAAATATTTACTCGGTGGTCAGTTTTATTTGTACTTGAATGAGTTGTCATTCTTTAGGTGGTATATAAGCCACCTCTCTAGAATTATACTTTTAAGCAAACTTGTTCTGTACTTTGCTAACTTCAGTCAGTGTCCTTGAGTAGAGATTGGACTGACATTCTGACAGATTGTTTAAGAAGTTGGCAAGGAAAATTTGGTGAACCCAAATTAGCTGGTACATTGAGGATGTTCCTTTTTATGACTCATAGTCTTCCTTCTTCATGGAAATGGACACTTCTACAGATCAGCAGTGCCTCTCTTCATGAAACTTAATGATGAGAAACAATCATGTTTGCCAGAAATTTGTAAATTCAAGGCCTCAGCTATATTTGAAAGCAGATTTAAAAGCTGTGCTTCAAATCTGCTTTCCTTTTTCCAAACATAACTTTAAGTTATGCATCCCAGATATTACTTTTTGTAGTTAAATTATGGTTATGCCTCCGAATTCGTGTGAGGGCATATAAAACTGGTAAGTACCATTTACAGTGTTAGGCGGCACTTGGTGATTGAAAACTTTCATTGTCCATGTGCCTTTTCGCTCTAAAACTTGTGGATATGCTTGACACTTTAATACTCAACAGCAGGACAAACATATTTTGTTGGGTATAAGTGAAAGATCATTTGTTTCCTGTTGATTTTTATTAGCTGTGATGGTGAAAATAATGTTCTGTCGAGTGGGACTCCATCAGTGGTAGTAGTGGAATATCCATGAATTGTAGTAATTATACATCAGATGTAGTATTAGTGTTGACATTTTGTTGATTTTTATTGATCACAATCAAAGGAAAAAGGAAATATAAAAACGGATCAAATATTGGCTTTTTGTAGTGATTCAGAAGTACTCTTATTTTTCTATGGTTTTTCATGTCTTGTATCAATAATTGGTAATAACTTGAGTATATTTTATTATATAACAGCAGTCTTCGGAATAATTTACAGTTTTTGCCCATTTGTTGTAATCTTAATGAGGACATTTTAAACATCTTAAGTTTTGAAAGCATTTTAAATCTGAATAAAATCAGTAACTGCTTTTCCCCCCACCCCTTTACTCAAAGCTATATATCTTCTTATCTCCTTTCTCCCCAAATTTATTAAATTTAAGTGCTGTACTTAAGATCAGGGAAAGCAGATAAGGTTAAATAATGCCAGAGTCCTTTGGAAGTTTTTCCCTGGTAGATACATTCGTAAATTTTAAACTTCTTTTTTTACAGATAAAATATTGTCAAAACTATTAATGTGTCAGAGCAGTAGCTTGTTAATTCTTGACGTTGGTAAAAGTGACCCGAAGTCATTGTCAAATATTCTAATGCTTTCCCTCCTCCCTGTTTGTCTCATTTGCATATAAGCTTGAAAAGAGAATTTCTTTGGTAAAAAGTGTTTTAAAATAGATTTTATATCCTTTACTGAGTGCTCGTGGAGGGCTATTTCTCAAAACAGGTGTAAATGTCTTACTTGTTTACAGTAGCAAGTGAGAAAAAAAGCTGCAAAGTTTCTGTTAAGGGATTTGGGTTATGCCTCTGAGAACAAAGAGGAAGCAGCCATGTTAGCATTACTGAAGGCAGAGCCAGCCTTGCACTTAGCTGCGTGGTGGTAGAGGGCAGTGTGACTCCCGGCGGCTCTGGAGACCATCTCCAACCCTTTTTGTCTGTTCTCGCTTCACTAACAGAATTCAGAAGGAGCTAGCTGAAATAACCCTCGACCCTCCTCCTAACTGCAGGTAAGAAACAGATTTTATTGATTTCATTTCAAATTGGGGGGGGGGAATCTCAGGAGATTGATGTATCGTCTTTGGATGTGTGTGCTGCTGAAGAGGCTACATTTGCTTCTTTTCAGCTTTTGTCAGTCAGTGGATTAAACAAACCTTTTTTTAGGGTGAATTAAATGAATTTGGGAGGAAAAAAATACTTTTTTGGCATGTGTTACACCTTTTGGGCTTTTGAATGTACTGATTTTATGCTTTCTACTGAGATTGGTGCGAACGGTGCTGATTTTTTTCTGTTGTAATGTTGCTGTAGAGTGTGTTTATTCAGAAGTGTATTGCAGAAACTTCTAAAATTTTGCTAAGCTTTGAAGTTACTGCTTGTGCGGAATCTGACCTTCCAAATGTAGAAATCCCTGAATGTGTTAGAAAATGTAAATGCAGTATATAGGAGTATGGTTGTTTCTGTTTGATTTATTAACTTGCCTTAAGGACAAATTTTATGTGCTAAGCTCATGGTTTTAGTTTTTTTCTAGACAATGTATTGTTGGAATTATTTACATTGTAATCAGATGTCCTAATTACTTGGAAAAATTCTTAGTAATTTAGGTACTTTAAATACGTTTATGAGAACCAGTAGATGAATTGGAAGTTGTGGGAAGAATTTATTTCAGTGAAACTCATGTAGAATAATTTAAGATTCTTGGTACATTAAAATAACTGGTTGATAATTTTTTCCCTGAAACAGTTTTTTTAATTCTGCTTAGTGCTCTGTTTTTCAACAGTGACTTTATGGTTTCCAAAATTCATCAAACTTAAAAAAGTCTTGTAGATAGCTTGCATAGAGATATGGGCTCAAAAATTAGAGTGGCTGCTAGAAATAATGCAGCGTTTGGTTTGATGTGAAAATTTTCTTGTCTTACCTACATTTTTGCTGCAAGTTGTGTTCACTTGTGATGAAGAGACCTGTCTCTGAAGTCTGTTTGATATAATAGGGTAAAATCCAATTGCTTCCTACCATATGTGTTGACCAGATCCTCAGATAAGGCAGTCTCATCCTGATTTGTCCAGTGAATTAATTTTGCTCATATTTGTAATCAGCCATTTCAGTTCCAAAGAGAAACGTGAATGCAAACTAATTTTAAACATAGTGGTTTGTCAAATCTGAAAGTTATGACCTGCGCTGTCCATGATGTAGCCATTAGCCACTTGTGGCTGTTGACTACTTCAGTTTAGACCAAAGTGAGATATGCTGTAAATGTGAAATACACATTGGACTTTGAAAACTTAGTACAAAGAAAAGAATGTAGACTAATCTTACTTATTTTAAAAAAATTGTTACTACATATTAAAATGATAATATTTTGGATATATTGGGTTATATAAAATATGCTTTAAATTTAATTTTACTTTTTTTTTTACCATTTTAATGTGGTTATTAGAAAATTTAAAATTACATATGTGGCTTGTGTTATATTTCTATTGGACAGCATTGCTTTAGAGAATAAATAAATCTGAGTATTTTCAGGCTTCTAAATGGTGTCAAATCTGTAGCCATTTAGGAGGGGGTCAAGTTAAATTTGCTCTTTGAAGAATCACTTAACTTGCAGAGTATATTTTGGTATTTCCTATTATAAAAGGTGTAAAGAGCTATCAGTTCAAAACTTTTGAATGTTTTAAATTTGCATGTAAGGTCAAACATTTTTAAAGGTTTCTGTTTATTTTCTGCAAATGACCCAAACTAGTGTACATGAATAAACCTAGAGAGCCCAGTAGACCTGTGTTGAATGCCTTTAGAGCAGTAACATAGCATTGCAGTTGCTGAAGAAATACGCTATACAGTTTAACCCGGGAATGGTTCCACAAGGTCACTGAGAATTATTTTAGAGGAAGTAGAATCTTTCTAGGAGATAGAAAGTTAGCTTGTTTTTATTTTTCTCTTTGTATACCAGATTTCATGTTAGTCCATGAACGCTTCGCATTTAATGATTAGACTAGTGAAGTAGCAGAGTGTGAACAGTAGCATGGAATACACCTTTGCTTTCCCTTGTCACAGCTTACGTTTACCATCAACTATTGCAATTGACATCTTTCAGTTCTTTAGCTCTGTATGCATTTCTTTGTGATGGCATGAGTGATTAAAGAAGAAACAGACAGAAAATAAGAGTCTTAAGTAAGGGACTGGGAGAATTTGTTTCTTACTAATTTGGGGACAGTTCTTCTCTCATATGCCTGACGTGTAAATATCCCGATACTTTTGTGTGTTTTATTATGTCTTCAGATTCTTTTGGGTGGAATGTCTAGTTCTTGTCCTTGGAATATTGAGTGTTTAGTGGAGGCACTTTAGGATTTTTGACAGCTGAGTCCGAATTTGTATTGTATTTTTGCTCATGTCAGGTATGTGACAGATGTTGCTGTTCTTGTAATTCACAGGTGAATCAGTGAGAATTTTAGCTTTATGGTGATTATACAGTTTAAATTTCTTAACTTATGTTATTAAACATGGGTTTCTATATTAATAAATTCTAGAATATGTGAATTCATATTGATTGAAATCAATGAAACCTAATTCTTTTGGCTTGTGTAGTTAATTAGTCATAATTCCATTATGGTTTTGAATATGATTTTTACCAGCTTGTCAAAGTATGTGACAGATTTTATTGTTCCTCAGGGAAGAAATGAAAGTATATCTGTGTACATTTAGGAAAATGTTGAATGAAATACAGGAAAACTCAGCAAAATCAAAGTTATTCAGACTAGATTAAGATTTCTCTTAAATTGCTTTCTCTGTTTAATTAATAAAATATTCTTTAGTTATTATGTGGCTATGTCTAACAGTATGCACTCAGGGTGATCTTAGGATAGACTTAATTGTTGAATTATGTGTGTGGCTTTAAACTTGTTTGAACATATTTTGATAGTATTGATATTTATTTTCCTGATAGTATAAAAGTTTGATAAAATGTTATTTCCAGTGATTTGATGACATTTCAGTTTTTAGGTATTAGAGTGCCTTAGGCCAGAGCATCCCCAACATAATATTTTGTGGCCTCAGTTTATACTCTTTACGTACTATAATCTAGATTAGGGTATAAAATATTTAATGAGAATGAAGGGAAATTGTGTTATGGGTATTTCTTTATGTTTTTAGAGAAAGTTAATGACTAGAATTGTTGAGTGAGGTGCTTTTCAGACGTTTATTTTCCACCCGTTTCCCAAAGCGTATTCTTGTCTTCTCAGTTACTGCTTGTACAAATGACAAAAGTATAGAAAGATGCTGGATCTTTAGCTCAACCTCTAATTTTTCCCATATAGGAGAAAGTACAAATATACTTTCTTAAAATATTCTTTAATATGTTCAGATTGAATTTATGTTAAAGTAGGTATTCGGGAACATTTGTAAATAGTTTTTGGATGTGGGAAAGGTTTATTGGAAGGAGGTGTTACAGTATCAGGTCATAGTATTAATATGTTTACAGTGCAGAACCTGAAAGCAGGTACTATAATAACTTGCAAATTTTGCCAACTTCCTTCTTTTTAAAAATGATTAATAAAAGGAGCAATTAAGTTCTAAACCAGAAGTTGGCAACCCTAGATTTAGTCGTAAGCCTCTATCTGTGGATGAACTCCACCTCTTTTTGAGGATTATTACCGCTTTTCAGCATTTTCTAGGGTATACTAGATCTTAAAGAGTGATCTTCAGACAAGCAACATCTGCATTGTGAGTGAGATTGTTAGAATCTTGCCTCCCCATTGCAGAAGTACTGAATCAGAATTTGAATTTGAGCAGGATTCCCAGGTGAATTGTATGTATTATTAAGGTTTGAAAAGCACTGGACTGTCTGGGTTCATATCCCTGGCACTTATTAGCTGTGTTTCCTTAGATAACTTATCGAATAGTTCTGTCTTTCAGTTTCCTTGGTTGTAAAATGGAGATTAAAATGATATTCCCTTTATAGGTTTGTTGTGAGGATCAGGTGAGTTAATATGTTTTAGTTTTGTAACAGTTATAAATTGGGTCAATAAAGTGGTCGCAGCAAGATTAAAGTAGGAGAGACAGTTCTGCGGCTTGCCCTCACTCTTGCTTGCATTTTCTCCAAGTACATCAGCATCCTACTTTAGAAATAATTTCAGTTTACCAGTTCAGCACCTATTTATTAAGAACATATCAAGCAGTTGTTTATTTGATGTTAGTAAAAGCAGTTGCTTGGAACTTCAGTAAAAAAGAGAATGTAAAAATATTGGGTAAAGAGAAACAAATAGTATATCATACTCTTTAAAGGAATATGGATAAGGTTAATGATTCTTAGTTCAGTAGAGAATGCTTTTACTGTCAAGGAAATTATAATGGAAAATTTAAAAATAAGGGTGATGGTTGTTTTTCCTTTTAAATATTTCATTATAAGAATTAGTAGTTTTACTGAGAATGAGATTATATCAGTATTTGTAAAATTTAGATTCTGAATTGATGTAGTTTACTAGTTGCCTAAACATAGTATTCTTTCCTTGTCTTTGACCTAAGGAGGGATTTGGGAGCTTTTTCTAATTGGGGGATGAAGGCACATCATGATCAAAATAGCATGAAGTATTTTTATATAGCTTTGTTTCTTGCTTATACAGTACTATAGAGATTATAAACCCTCCCACAGATATAGATTCTTTTTCTCTTTTACTTATATACATTTAACTCTTGGTATTGTTTATATTAGTGTGAGCTATATTAATGCACTCTATTTTATAAAGCAAAATTGTATCTCATGAATCATCCATTCCTTTTATTTTCAACTCTTCAGAAAAAAATCCTGGACTTGCCTTTTTATAAAAATTAAATTGTACCTGTAATTGGAAGCTTGATTTGTAAAATAGATAAATATAGAACTACTCTCAGTGAAGGTATTTTCCATCGTACTCTACTGTGGTCATCTACCAATGGATAGTTCTTATTATTTTAATACTAATTAACTAAATTTTGGCATTAGCATAGACCTCAGAAATCAAGTGGATTTTTCTTGGCACTT